GCATTATCTGTTTTCGTCAAACGGCCGCAGATATGCAGTGAACTCTTGCTTGGCAACAGACAGAGATCTTGATGTTATACGGAAATACGGATTTCATCATTGTTGTTGAAGGATGACGATGCGAATGGCTGATGAGCATGGATCTCATAATGAGAAATCCACTCATCAAAGATGATTCGCTTTTGAATATTCAAGATTTCTTCCATGGTAGACGATAGTAACAGCAGGCAAAAAAGACACAGCAAAACTTTACTTTGGCACTTTTTTGCGAAGTTTCAGACCCAGACTCTTCAGGAACTTGATGTTCTGGGATGTCAGCTTCGTGAGAGGCACTCGACGACTGTCCACTTTTCGGCATGAGTCCTCACTTTTATAACTGCCACCAATCTTCTTCTCAAAGACAATGCCCATTTTTCCTTAATCAGCTCTTATATGAAGTCTCGCTGTGATGACTTCTTCACGGAAATTCACTAACCGATCGTCTTGGTCCACAAATTTCAATTGCAGGTGATGTATTGACTGCGTAACGATCGGCAAGTAAATGACCTGAGCAGGCGCTTCAATGATCTTATATCCTGTTGGAATGCTTGGAAAGAACTCATGAATCGTATGCGCACGTCGGTTGTTAATGTAGACCCCTGCAGTCAGATTACACTCAACTCGCAGTGAATTTACATGAATGATGTCTGGAGGTCTGGTAGCGNTGTGATGACTTCTTCACGGAAATTCACTAACCGATCGTCTTGGTCCACAAATTTCAATTGCAGGTGATGTATTGACTGCGTAACGATCGGCAAGTAAATGACCTGAGCAGGCGCTTCAATGATCTTATATCCTGTTGGAATGCTTGGAAAGAACTCATGAATCGTATGCGCACGTCGGTTGTTAATGTAGACCCCTGCAGTCAGATTACACTCAACTCGCAGTGAATTTACATGAATGATGTCTGGAGGTCTGGTAGCGCGATAGAATGTGGAATGGGCAAGAATCTCCCCTTGGAAACCAAGTAGTTGCCCAATAGAATCTGATTTCATAAAATTGATGATGATGTTATTAGGCACTTTAATTATCGTCGTGAGAGTCCGGTCATCAGCCTTCAAACTAAAGGGGATTCTCCAGGCTAATAATTCATTCTTCAAGTATTTCTCAATGTCACTGATTTCATAGCTTCCTGTTGGTATAGTCAGCTCTACTGAGAATTCATATTTTTGAAAATAAAATTTATTTCGTCCTTCATTGATATTAGGAATTGAATTGTATGTTAGGAATTGTACAAGTCCCACACTGTAGGATTTCCGAGGTGATAGTTCAATGGGTGGAAAATACCAGGCCTCTAGTACAGAAGACCTACCAGACAAGGTTAATGTAAATGAGTCGCTCATGGTGGTTAGCACGAAACTGATGTGTATATGGAGTTGTCTGTTGTTTTATACCAATTCACCAGAAAGAAATTTTAAGCATAAATGTCCACATATGATATTATTATAGTCTTGATCATTTTTAGGGTTATATTTCACAATACTACCGTCACCGAAATAATCGATTAAATCTTGAGGTGGGCGTAAATTGCCGTAGCTATCAAAGTAGCAGACTTCATGATATTTTTTTTATACGCCACCCAGTGAGTGCCTGGTCTATTTTTATCATCACGATATACTATAGCTGACTCATACTTCCATGATCCACCTCGAGGCATGTCATTTCTCATATAAACACAACGAAAATGTGGAATTTTCATGGGTTTAGCATATTTCACTAGATCGCTGTCAGTGAGAGCTCGGTGCGGTAGTCTTACTAGTTTTTTGGATTCAAATGTAAACCTAAACCCGACTTATAGGGTTTCAAATACATCCCCTTGCCCAAAGCGAATTCTCTTAGAATTCTTTAATGCCTAAAGGAGGTTAGGCGGTGTTTGAGGTGAATTTGAGAGTGAATTTCTGTGGTTCCCGGTAGCTTAGTCGGTAAGAGTGCCCGGCGCGTATCTGGGAGACCCGGGTTCGACTCCCGGCTGGGTGAAGCGGAAATTTTTTCTCTCTAAATTCTAATTCTCTTAGAATTTTTTTTTTCCATGGTACGATTATGTCGCTGACTCTCTGCAAGTGCCGTGGCAGCATGCTTGGAGGCGTTGATTGCTTTAGCAATACCAGCAGTACCACCTGCAAAAGCAACAGTGGCACTAAGACCCGCAAAAAGTGGGATGAGAAATGCCGGAAGAATTCCACCGATTTTTGGTGGAATAGGGACAATGCGAGGCACAGCTTTCATTTTCTTTCTCCCTCCAGCATGTTTCACAACCTCACGTGCACCTTTCAATGCACTCTTCACAACATCGAACCCTGGGTGCATGGACCCCTTGGCAGCTTGCACAATCTGACGCAATGATATCTTCTTCTTGCTAGCCTCTCCAATCTTCTTTTTACGACAGCCCTTTCCAGTCTTCGGTTTCGTCTTCCTCTTCTTCTCATCAATAGTTTTCTGACTCACTCCCATACCGAATTTATTCTTAGCCTTCATGATGTTCCCCACACCGCCACAGCCTTCTCACCAAGCCTGGTGTCTTTGGCTAGAACTCGATGCCAAGCTTTTTCAGCGAGGACTCTATCAGGTGCGTGTCTAGCTGCTAAGTTCTCTCTATTCTTCGAATAAGCTATATCGTGTTCCTTACATGCGGAATCCAGTGGATTTATACCAGGGTCACCATGCACCAATCGTTTGACCAACTTCGTTCCAGGTCCACAGTACTGATAGCCAGGCACATGCAATTCAATGGGTAATTTATTAATGAGGTCGTTCACCACACCTTTACCCTTCCGCGTTTTCGCACGTTTGCGTGCAGCCATGTTCTCCCATAGACTGATAGAAAGTCCATAAATACAGCGTATTTATAGGCTCCGATGGCAGTCATCAAGATGGAGTTCAAGGAGTAAAGTGCAAAGCTACCGGTGATGAATTTCGATAAAATTACTGAGAAAAATAAAGATAATCGAAAAAATCACCACGGGCCCCTTCTACCCAATAGTGTACGAGCAGTCATATGTGGACCCTCGAACTGCGGAAAGACAAACGCTCTGTTCGCACTTATTACACATTCCAATGGTTTGAAGTTTGAAAATATTTATGTATACTCAAAATCTCTAAATCAACCAAAATATCGATTTTTGAAAAAGTTATTGGAACTAGTGAAAGTTATTGGCTATTTTCCCTTCAACGATCATGATGAAGTGGTTAAACCTGAGGAGACTAAACCCAACTCTATTATGATATTTGATGATGTTGCCTGTGAAAAACAAGATAACATGCGAGCATTTTTTTGCATGGGTCGCCACCGACATGTAGATTGTTTCTATCTCTGTCAGACTTACGCGTGTATTCCAAAATACTTGGTGCGTGATAATACAAATTTACTCATTCTCGGTAATGTGGTAGAATAGCACACTCCTCTACTCAAAAAATTCAATATTTTAAAATGATTAATTTCTAACTTAACAGTTACTTAAATTCCCAAAACAAACCACCGATGTCGAATGGAACACGGAGAACCACACTTTTTTCAAACGAGAGAGGCAACTTATTTCAACGAAACCTCGGATCCACTAATCAAAATTCTCGTGAATTATTTTTGGAAATTGCATCAGGTTTAGATTACCCAGGGCCACGACGTGGACGTACTGGTGCTGACCCCAAAGAAGAGCCTAAGCATCAAGCATAATTGCGTCCAAGGGCAACAGATTGAAGAACAGGTTCTATTGTACCTCCACCCCCCTCCATAGGGCATTGAATTTAATCAATAATTTAATGAAGAATGAGTAAAAATAAATTAAAATAAATTAATGATTCGATGACACATGTTGGACCAACATTTTGTTGGACTCAACCAATAGACCTATTGCTGGAATAATACTTTATCCTAACGACAATTTCCTGGATAATCGACTATCTGTATTTGTTTAACCGCGATTTCATAGATTAATTTTTAAGGGTTGGTGTAGTTACCGAGAATTTTAAGAAAGGTGGTTACCCTTTCTGGCTTCGGGACCGTAAACGTGAAAACAAACTTACTTAGTTTGTCGTCAATGTTATTAGTCCTTATTCCAAACTTCGGGTACAGGCTCCTGAATTCTCTCCAGATCCGTTCTATCCCATTTATATGGGCTCCATTGGTGTAATTCACTAGCATAACACTATGATTTACACTTAGATGTAAATAATTTTCGGACAGTCTTGAGTACCCAGTCCAACAGTCAGTGTAAACCGTACTATTGTACCGCACGTACTTTTTCACCAGTGAAGTTAGAGTGTCGGCTGAACGATCAGAGACCCTGTCGATTACTAATCGTCCAGTTTCTCTCTCGTAGATACCGAATATCCATTCCTTCACTTTTGGTGTGCGACCTAGCCTAGTCTTTCTCCCACCATAACTTAACTTGTCGATCTCCACAATTTTCCCCTCCCCTCCCATTTTATCGGCCCGGTTGTCGTTGTCCCATTGTANCCTCTCCCATTTTATCAGCCCGGTTGTCGTTGTCCCATTGTGTTAGGATACGGTTTATCCTTCCAATCCAACTTCGCACTGTTTTTATACTCAGTTTGGACTCGAAGGACAAACTCTGTATTGTCATGACATCGCTGTATATGTATGTGAATATCAGCGTGAAGATTTTTCCGATCGGGATCTTAATATGACTCAGCACTGAACCGTCAAAAATGCTTGTCATTCTACTGCTCTTCGTCCGAATCTGCCTTCCTTTATTATCAATTGTGACGCGTGTTTTTTGGCACCGAAAGAATTTGAGTTTATAATCGGTATACATCTGTTCACCACATTCAATACAATGGATATGGGATTTCAGCACACTTGTAACTCTGAGTTGTTCAATAATAAGTTCGTCATCGAACGAAATACGGTAGAGATCTGCAAGATTCATTTTTTTTTATTTTTCAATTATCTTTAAATCGACGACTATCCTATGCTTAGGGTAGCCGCTAAACTTTAAAATTGATTTGTGTGCCGTGGTCGAAATTTCAGAGTCCGGCGGAAATTCTCTTCTATTCCTATCTTAATTAGCGCCAACGAATCCGAAAATATATATATTAATTGAGTTTCTTGAAGAGTGGTTATTAGTTCACATTACCTACCTAAGCCAAAGGTGGTTAGGCGGCGTGCTGAGTTGAATTTGGAGTGAGAATTTCCGTGGTTCCCGGTAGCTTAGTCGGTAAGAGTGCCCGGCGCGTAACTGGGAGACCCGGGTTCGAATCCCGGCTGGGCGAATTGGAATTTTTTCTCTCTAAATTTCAATTCTATTTGAATTTTTTTGTTTTTTTGTTTTTTTGTTCATTCTCTTCCGTCAGGATGAGATGTATTTGAAACACATTTATCATGATCATGTCAATACTGATATGTCATATACACA